ATTATTGGATTTTTTAAATGTCTAATACTTTAAATTTTCTCTCGATTGTAGAAGAAAAATGAATCATTATCTCTTAGGAAAGAAACAAAAGGCGCGTCTTAATTTCTATGATTAAATAAGAATGACTATTTTTATTAATTTTTTAAAATTTGGTTTCCTCTCTTGAATCTTTATCTATTATTGTTCCAATTTTACCTGTGTAATTTGCAAAAATTTTAAAATATAAACAATATCTTAATTTTTAAATTGTATAATTTCTACAATGTGATGTAAACATTAATTTATATCTATCTCGATAGACATTCATGATGTCATTAACTTCCTGTCCCACGCATCATTCTCATCCGTCAAGTCACTTACTATAACACCGTTCAACTCCTCAGGAATACAAACTTGAATTATATATTTTTAATTTTTTTTCCTTTTTAATCAATGCATCAGAAACTAATTAATCATTTTTAAAATATCCAAATACATATATATGATACTTAATTATATTATGTAGGTTGTTATTGAGAATAATCTCTAATTTTGTCATCTATAAGACTCACATTCACACAAAAAATTATAGTTTGTATCAGATAATGTTAAATACAGGCTTTAGAGTTTTTTTTTTGTATAATGTCATTGATACAAAACTACAGTTTGTATAACATAATGTTAATGATATTAAGGGTTGAATATTGTTTAAAGATTGAAGGTATTTGTGTTTATATTTTCATCATGATTTTTCGTTGAATGATAACCGGTCATTAACTACTTAACAAAACAAAGAAATAGGAACAAATGAATGTCATGTGCAAAGGAGATTGGGATATATAGAGAGGTAGAGAGACTGATAAGTGATATAAAAAAAGAGTTAGAGAGAGACGAAGAGGAAGTGACAAAAAGAGAGAGAGAGGAAACACGTATTAGTGTCAACATTCATAAATAAGTTATAAGAAACGGGTAAGTTATAAAAACAAATAACAACTACCATATTATTTTATTTTCTATATATGTCTTTTTTTATTGAACACAAACATCGAGTATAAAAAGTAATAGTAACATTATTAATGTCTTTTATGGTAAAATATGTGAATATTAATTTTTTGTTATTTTATATCCATTTATAATTTGTATGATTTCTACATTGTGATATTATTAAAAATTTAAGACATTAAACAACATACATGGATTGTTTTCTTACTTTTATTTTTTTAAACTGTGTAAATAATATTATTTTATATAACATTTAATGTATTGATAAGTTTTAATTTTCACATTCTACTCTTTAGATTATTAAATTAATTTTAAGTTTAAATTTGCATTGTTAAATTGGTTTGGAGTTTTTTTTTTTCTTGCTAAATTGGTCTAAAGACATTACTAAAACATATTGAAAGTTAATATGTATCTTTATATTTTGATCCGAAGACATTACTAAAACATATTGAAAGTTAATATGTATCTTTATACTTTTATTTTTATTTTTATAATTGTTCCTAAATAATATTATTTTTAATGGAATATATGTCAAAAACACCGTAAAAAATTGCACGCGTTAGCGCAATAAAAAAAGCGGACAAACGGGCACGGAGTGCCCGTTTGGACGCTAGTATGCATAAAGTAAGTTTGGAAGGGTGACTAATTGAGAAAAGAAAGTATTGAATAAAGTTGTAGTGTGTACATAACCTTATATAGTGAATGTTTCTTTTGCATTGGCAACTTTGAGTCCATGGCCTTAGATATGTCCCTTTGTTGTGAACCTTACCAAGATATAACCTTTAAAGACCTTAGTGATCGTCTTGCTTCCATAATTTCATTTTGATTGAGTAGATGAATGTATGAATTGAATTGTCATTTGCATTGCTTGTCAGATGAGTGAAATTTCCCCGCGGTTACAAACGCGTTAATTTATTCATTCTTATTTTAAAGAAGAGTGTTAGAGAGATTCAAACGTGAAAATTTAGTTGTTATTTGAAACATTGCATGATATTTGTTTAAGAACTAAATTCTTTTACATTGTTCGATTCTAGGAAGTGGTGAGCATTGCTTGTGCGCATTTGTTGTTTAATTTGAGCCATAAATCTATTCTTGGTTGAATTAAATGCCTGGAAAAATTCTCTTGTTTTCAATGAGAGGCATACTTTGCTTGAGGACAAGCAAAGATCTAGTTGGGGAGAGTTTGTTGAATGTCAAACATGCTTTAATTTGATCCATTATTTTTGACATTTTTTTATCTCATTTGTTATGTTTTGATTAGATTTATTCCATGTTTTCATGCTATTCTTCAATTATGTGCAAATATATTTAGTTGCTTTGATTTGTGTGTTATTGTGCAGGATTTAGGCATAATCTATCAAAGAAGTAAGACACAGATAATTTGAAAAGGAAGGCAAAGAAAATGTAAATTTTTAATATGTTCGTTGGGCGAACAACCAGTGAGGTTCAGCAGCGAATGTTTGTTGCGAAAAGTGTCAGCGAAGCTCTAGCGAACCATCTCAAATTAGAGGCAGAAAGAAAAGGATTATAAGTTTGTTGGGCGAACTTGAAGCAAATGTTCGCTAGACGAGGTTGCAGTGAAGGACCAGCTAACACCTCCAGTTTTGAGGCAGTAACTAAAGGACATTAAGTTCGCTATGCAAACTTGTAGTGAAGTAGCTCGCAGGGCGAAGAATAATTCTCTAGGCGAACTTGTATATTTCCTTAGGGACGGTTTAACTGTTCATAGGCACTTCAGGTGCCATAAAATAGAGTTTGCTGGGAGAACTTGGCAGACTCTAGTTGTACTATAAGTACTTTTCACACTTTTTGGGGATCATAACCCATTTTTCACAGAGAAACTTATATTTTCAGCATTTCTTCACCAAAAAGGGTGATTTTGGAAATAGAAGTTGAATTTGCATCCGAGTTTGATTCTTCTATGTGGATGCTCATTCATCTTCTCTCTTTACTTGTAAATCAAGCTATCATGGTTATGGATAGCTAATTTCTTTTGTATCAAAGGTAGAGGTAGTCTACCTTAGCTTTATGTATTTCTTTTGATTGACCTTGTATGTGAACAAGTGATGAATAATATATGATGAATATTTTTATTCTTAATGATTCACTATTGTTTTGTAAAACTCTAGACATAGATTTTATGGAACTTGACCTAAAATATTCATCTATCAATTTATAGATTGAAGAGATCGGTATATGGTTGATATTCACTTTGTATTAAACTTAAAGCTTACTATATTGGTTGTTATATGGATAGATCGTGTAGTGATGAATACGATATTTCTCACGACGCCGCTCTAGAGATAGATGGTGTTGAGAGAATACGCGGTGATATTAATCAGATCCGACTTCACATGCAAGATTGAAAGAATATGCATAAGTTAGGATAGATGAAAACTACTTTTGATATATTTTGTTAATAAAACACTTTAGAAATTATCAGCTTTACTACTAAAAATCGTGACAATTTATGAACCAAAATTTGAAAACTTTTTTCTTAGAACTGTAAACTATTGAAAGACAAGCATTAAGATATCAGACAATCCCCGTAGAAACGATAACAAACACCCCATATAACTAACAATTTTGGATAGTTAGTGACTACAATTACTCTGGATATGTAATCAGGTACCTTTTCATTGTTCTTTATACTAACATTCTTATATTGCTTACGTAAGGACTGAAGCTTGAACTTTTTCATTGATGCATCACCACTATAGCACCACACCAGTGTATCCCACATCGCAGTCGCCATCGTTGAATAAACAATTTTCTCAAACACATTTGTATCCACACACTGATGGATATAAAACAATGTCTTTTGATCCTTCTTCCTCGTTTCATGTTGCACAGTTCTTTGCGTTTATGCTGCATTTTTTGCAACTGTCGTGTAACCGTCATTGACAAGATGAAGAACATCTTGAGCTCGAAACAACACACGCATCTGAATCGACCACCGATTCTAATTCTTTCCGTCGAATACTGAAAGCTTTATGTTCAAGCTACCGTTTCTGTCGTTCATCTTTATCCTTGTGCAATTCACTCAGTTCTCACCAACACTCGTGTTTCCCAAACCCTGAGAATCAAGATCTGTGATTCTCCTTAATTTCTAACTTCAATTCAACGTGAATTTCAGAAACGAAATCAATCACACACCTCACCACACTTGTATTTCCCTGTAAATCAAACTGAAATTCTGGATATGAATTGTTGGAGTTTAACAATGAACCTCTATTAACAATGCACGAGAATTGAGAAAATGAAGATGAAGAATGATGTGTGTGTGTGTGTGTGTGTGTGTGTGTGTGAGAGAGAGAGAGAGAGAGAGAGAGAGAGAGAGAGAGAGAGAGATTTTTCTAATTTACTTCTCTCAAATGAAAAAACTGAATTTTATTACAAATGCAATTACATTTGGGTTTTTATAAACATCCAAATTCAACTCAAATTCAAATGCAAATATAAACTTAAATGTAAATGAAATTTACAACTAAACTAACTTGAATGTTGAATTACATTCAACAAACTTTCAATCACCCCTCCTCTCATAATATATCTCATCTCTCTCATTCACATCTATATCCATTTTTCGATTTTGGAGTAAGCATACAAACCGCTCCAACAACCGCACAACTTCTAAATCCGCCCATTCATTTGTAACTTGCTTTTCTTTTTAAAATATTATTGTGCAACTTTACTCAAAAATTCGACTGTCTAATCATATTTTAGACATGTCTAACTATAAATTTCATAAATAGGAACAATATTTCCTCTCCATTTCCAACATAATGTACATCATAATTAGCAATTACTCTAACAACATTACTATTTGGACGCAGTTTTATAGACAGTTACATGGACACAATTTGAAAGACAAATAGATTGAGTGTGTGTAATCAAGAAAAGAAGACAGTTTTATTTTTTATTTTCATATTTTTCTAAATGAAACTTTCCATTTCTTTAGGAGAGTATCTCAACTCATGTAATACATTGAATCTCAATTTATATAATCATTAATCATCCTAGGCTAAAATTTGATTCCATATCCATTTTGTAGCTACCCACTTCTCTCCTTTAATTACGGGGCAGCTTCCATGGAGCGAGGTCTGACAAAAATTAACATAGAAAAATTGTCAAACAATTTGCATATGTGACAGCAAAATTCTTTTAAACTTAGCATTCATAACTAATAAATATTGTTAGATTCATATTAAGTTTACATTCAATAGTTACTAAAACATTCTTTATTCTTCTAAGAGAATAAAATACTAACCGGATCAATTGTACCATTAGGGAACAAAGAATAAAATAGAATCCCATCTCCTTTTCGTGGCTTTATTTTCAAACCAATACAATCCTTATAACGGTAGCTACCGTCCATGTTCAACCCATTCTACACAATAACAATGGCTAATTACTAAAGCGCATAACTTGAAAATGAGATATATTAAGTGTCTAATCAAGATGTAGTGACAAACTTGATTTTACCTCAAACGGAAACACGGTCTCTCCACCTTCTTGGACATCTGTTAAATACAACAGAAATGAAGCTGCCTGCATGGTAACCAAAAAATTGATGGTGTAAAAAAACACTTGGATGATGAACTCAAGATATTAATGATCATAAATTACGAATTAGAAAAAGTGCAAACAAAAATGTATGAGTTTTGTTCTCACGTACCCTTTGGTAATCTACTGGGCCATATTCAGAGGCAGTGAATGCATCATAGTGAGAATCATATTTTTGTCCGATCTTATAGCGGAGGATATTAAATGTCTGAAACACACATATATATAAAATTTCACAGTAAGTTTTGACATTCTTTACTACATTCATAAGTACACATTTTAGTTTTGGGGAGAATGGTGAAACAAAGTTTTGACATTCTTTGACATTCTCAATGATCAAGCGGCAAGGACCATAATATGAATGTACCTACCTCTCCATGAGTCCTGGGAAGTTTTGATGCTCTGGCTATTTTCTCTTCAATGACTTCTAAAACACCCGTTTTGTCCTGAGTAGCGTTGATAAATACACCAGAGCTGTTTGAAAAAGATGAAAATATAAGCTCCTGATATGATTTAATAGAACTAACACCATGACTTAATGTGTATGTTGGATTTTAGGTGTAGGTAAAAATGAAAGGGTCATCATCAATTTAAAGTGAATCATGAGTTCAATATGGCCTTAAAAAAGTAAATGAAAGGATTACTTGAGCTTATTTCTCGATGATTTCCATTTCTTAATTATTCAACAGACAAAGAACATTTGCAGAGTTATGCACTACCTTGTTCTGATTTCTTGCGTATTCTCCTCTGTTTGTCCCTCGTGTAACAACACTTGTGATGGTGTAAGCCCTACCTTTGCTATCTCAACTATGATTTCACATTGTTTCGCACTTGCAAAATTAGGAAAATATAAAAGGCGAGGGCTCCAACTCAAAATCTGAAGAACACAAATCAAAGTTACATTTGAGTGTCAAATAAACCCTGAAGTAGAATCATCATGTGCTTAATTCTGATCCTATTCAACTCTGCAGAACAATAATGATTTATCCAAATTCAACTACACACACTATAGCAGTAATTCAACTAATCCTCATCAAAATATAATGAAAAATTCACCAAAATTAATTATTCAACCAACTAAACGCGCTAATTGCGCTACATCAAACACGAACGGAACCATAAAATGCTGTGAATTGTGATAATGTCAACCGATGAAACGCTGAGTTCAACAAAATCATCAATGCTTGAAGAAATAATTTTCGAACCTGAAAAGGAATCGAAGTAATGAAATCATCACCGGACTCTCCACCATGCAACACACGGTGCTCCACCTCCTCCTCCGTCGACTTTTCCAGAACCAGCGAATCCAGAGCCACAGAGTGATGGAAGAATCTAGAACCAGAGAATCCAGCGAGGAAGAAGAAGATGCATAAGAGGAAAACAGAACGTAACCCGAACTTCTTCGTTTTCCATCTCCAATTTTCTTTAACCGCTTTGAATTTCATTTGGATTGTGCAGAGTGATCTTTTAGTTTTCTTTTTACGAATCAAGAAGTTAACGATGAAGATTCTCGTCGAGACTGTATGCGCCCGCTTAATTTTATTGGTTACACGCTCGCTTATTTAAACTTGTACATACAATTTTTTTCATTAAGACACGCGGCTATTTTAGTTTAAGTCAAAAGAAAAAAGAAAAAAAAAAGACTGCTATTTTTTTACTGAACTTTAGAACTTAAAATATATAAAATAAGTTGTAATTTAAAAACTAAAATTATTAAAATACCATGGATTAAGAATAATTTACTATAATGGTAAGACATATCCTGACAAAATAAAAAGTCAAAAGTATTTGGACCAAATACTAGGAATGGCAACGGGACGGGTCGGGGGCGGGTTTAACTATACCCGCACCCGCCTCCGCCTCCATGTAACAGACCCGCCCCCACCCCCAAATTCAATCGGGGTGAAAATTTACCATTCAAACCCGTTCCCAGTAGAAAACGGGTGCACCCGCCCTCGCCCCGCCCCCGCCCACAAAAAATTATTATTTTTTAATTATAATAAAAATTAGTAATTTAATTAAAAAATTGATTATTTTAATAAATTAATTAATTATTTAATTAAAATTTTAATTAATAAATGAATATTAAATTGATTAATTTTATTATTTTAATTGCAATAAGAATATTAATAACTTAATTAAAAGTATAATTAATAAATAAATATTAAAATAAATAAAATAAGAAAATCAAAATAAAATATATTATTTGGGGCGGGACGGGGGCGGGTGCGGACGGGTCTTAGTGTCTACCCGCACCCGCACCCGTAGTTAAGAACCGGGTTTCACCCGCACCCAATTAAATCGGATTTTCCCCGTTAATTTCGGGGCGGGTCCGGGCGGGTGTGGGCGGGCCCGGGTTTGTTTGTCATTCCTATCAAATACCAAAAATATTTGACCTTTTGAATATAGAAAATGAGCAAAAGAGCAAAAGTGATGCTCATTGTTAACCTGTTTTACGAATTAAGTTGGAAAGACGAATATTTTATTAGAATAAATTGAGAGATTATATTTACTAAAAAAAATTATAATAAAAGATAATTTTGTTTTTCTAGAGTTGTCGGGGGTGTTTTAGGATATTTAATTGTGTTGAGGGCTATTTCTTTTAAGGTTATGAAAAGTTTTGTTTATGATTTTATAGAAAAATTCAGAGAATCCTTGTCCATTCTCCCATCGGGGCATATATAGGGGAATTCTTGAGCTTGGACCAGAGTTAGAGGAGTCATTTCCCTTTCTTCTTTTTTTTCAAAGATGCGGAAGTGGCTGAGATTGAATTCTATTTTCCTTTCCAATTGATCAATTTCGCGTATGTCGTCATCAATTCAACTAGGAGTGAAATGTGGTTTATATCAGGCGGCAAGACCCAATAGGCAACTTGTTGAAATCTTGTACTCATCTAATTCAATTAATAATTACTAAGAGTCTTATTGGTAAGAAAGAAAAAAAACTTGTAACTTATTACTTTAGCTTTTCAACTCATTTTAATTAAAAAATTTTGTTAAATAACTATTTTTTAACTTTTAACTTATACTTTTTAACTTATTTTTTTAGTTTTTTCTAAAAAACTGTTTAAAATAACTTTTAATTTATAACTTTTTATTCCAATTATACCTTTATTATTATTATTATTATTGTTATTAATATTATTATTATTATTATTATTACTATTATTATTATATATATATATATATATATATATATATATATATATATATATATATATATATATATATATATATATATATATATATATATATATATATATATATATATATATATATAATATTTATTATTAAAAATTTGATTTTAAAAGATTGAATTTAGGGAAATTTTAAAGAATGTTATAGAAGATTTTTTTTATTTTTCTCTACTTTATTAGATATTATTTTTATTTATTAAATATAAATTATATAATTAATTTAGAAATAGTCTTTATAATTTTCAAGTTAGGAGAATCAATAAAATCAACAAAGGTGAAGAAAATTCATAATATTATTATAGTTTTATTGTAAAATATTAGACAATAAACGTATTTTTATTATTATTTTATATTAATATAACTAAATTCAAAATTACAATATTATTATTTTACATATTTTATTAAATTTCATTATTAAATTAGGAAAAAAATTATATTTTACGAAAGAATGAGTTAATCAGACAAAGAATAGTAGTTATTAGGATTGCTTTTACCTTTATGTCTTTATAAATGGCTTTATAAATTACCCCTACTTCATATATGATTTACGGGTTCTTTTATTTATTGAATTTTAATTGTCAATATATTCATACTAAATAGCAAAGCTCATAAAACTTTTATACAAATTTATATATTTTGATGATATCTTCAATAATATAATAAGATAATAAAAATTTAGTTTGAATACTTATTTTTAAAATGTTATTTTAGATATTTCATCTTTTTGTTGAAACTTTTTTTGAATACCAAAATTTCAAAAAAAAAATCACTTAATTTTTAAGCTATTTCAAATAGATTTTCATATAAATTATTTTTGAGATTCAACTTTTTGAAAAAAATTACGATTTCGACTATATTTTGATCTTCAATAATGTACGTTTATGTTATAGAATGTTAAAATTAGTCTTTCAGTTTAGAAAAAACGAATATAAAAAAAAAATTGTAATATTTTTAACAACATTTTTGTAAAATCTATTTTTGAAAATAAATATAAAAAAATCTATTTTTTTAAAGCTGAAACAAACAAACTCATAATCAATTCACTCCATTCAGAATATATATGTCCATATATATGTCCAGTAATATCATTATTCTCTGCAATAGGTTGTGGTGTTCAAGGGGAGTGTGTTTGTGTTAGTGCTTGTGTTGTTGGAGTATGGTTTTATTATATGAACTTGCATGGGAGTTCATGTATCGTGGTTGTTTTTTGATTTTCCCATCAGGGGAAGTACTGATTATGTGTGACAGGGAGAGTTGCGTACTTGTCTATTTTGATGCTGCTAGATTGCAGTTTGTACAAAGCTTACATGTTCTCATGTAGCTTATGTTGGTTTATGATGTCATACCTAATGTCTTGACATTGTGTTGTCTAATGTTCTTTATTGGTTTGATAACATTGTGGTTCTTAGGTTTCTAATTTTGTTTCCGTTGTGTACCTATGGTATGTGCTAAGGTTGTTTTAGCCAAAACTTTCTTAAGTCCTATAGTTTTTGGATTTGCTACATTTTGTTAAAACAACATCCTATTAGCAAGGTGTTGAACCAGATGTTCTGCCATTTCAGCCAGACATCATATTCTACATGATGTTGGGACATGTTCCAGGAGATGTTATACCAGATAGTTAGGGCATGACTATTTTGGTAATTTTAGTGTGAGATTTGATTGTGTTCTGATGCAGACGTGGGCGACTTGTATGAGAGTATATTATGGGAGTTTCTGTAATCACAAATTATGTTACTTTTCATAAAATGAATCCATGAGCCTTTTTAGGAAAGTTTGTATTTTCTTCTATTTTTATGCAGGTTAATTTGCAATCAGTCTATACTCATTACTGCTATTTGTGCGCCTCATGAAGCCCAAGTCCAATAGGTCTGAAGGCTATTTAAAGAGAATAAAAATCCTATTTGAAGAAGATAGCATATTGTGAGATTTTAGAGAATAAGGATTAGTTGTTGTTTTGGTTGGTCTATAGAATTTTTGTGTGTTAATCGTACGTCACTCATGTATCTTTTGATACATTGAGTTTGGCTGATTGTTAATTGTTCACTCAAAGGTTTTAAGCAAATAGTGTATTATTCTTGGGTGAAGCTTTTAAGCAAACCAAGTATTATTTTGGAAGTATGATCTTCTATTTGTTGTTTGTGTATACAGTCATTGGGATTGTGATTGTTTGATATCACTGAGGTGATTAGGAAGTGAGAGGGGTTCTCATATCTAGGAGTTCCTAGGTAGAAGTTGCACTGAGTAGGAATTAAGTGAGAAGTTGTAAACTGGAATTGTTTAGCTTCGAATTAATACTACTAATAGTGGATTTCCTTCCTGACTTGGTAGCCCCTAGATGTCGATGAGTTTGCACTGAATTGGGTTAACAATTCTAGTGTTGATTTTATTTTTCTATTATTTAAATTCATGTTTATTATTTGTGTTGTATTTTGATTTCAGTGTTGTGACATCTGTCTCGACATCTGGTATCTGCGTGCCAGAATTTCAGTGAGGAAGGCTTTGTATGTGATTGTGTTGTTTGTTTAATTCTTAAGAATCTGTTTCTCTTGAAAAGATTGAGTTTGGTTCTTGAGATAAATTAGTGATTAAATCTCTATTTTTGTTTATTGAGCTTCCAGAAAAAGTTATGTTTTTGGTTATTGAGATCAACCTGAAAATCTCTAAGAAGGTTTGTTAGCTTAACATGTGGTAAAAGCTATCTTTGGTTTCAGTGTTGTGACATCTGTCTCGACATCTGGTATCTGCGTGCCAGAATTTCAGCGAGGAAGGCTTTGTATGTGATTATGTTGTTTGTTTAATTTTTAAGAATGTGTTTCTCTTGAAAAGATTGAGTTTGGTTCTTAAGATAAATTAGTGATTAAATCTCTATTTTTGTTTATTGAGCTTCCAGAAAAAGTTATGTTTTTGGTTATTGAGATCAGCCTGAAAATCTCTAAGAAGGTTTGTTAGCTTAACATGTGATATAAGCTATCTTTGGTTCTGGATAAGCTATAAAAATCTCAAGATCAGCTTGTATAAAGGTTCATGGACGTAACCTTCAAAAGCTCAAAGTTTATAGTCAAACTCTCAAGACCTCTTGGAGACAGTACTAGGCGAACGTTTGCCCAAACCTGTATAAATCTCTAGTGAAATCTCTATAATCCTATCCTTTTAATTTTTTTCTATTTACTTTTACTATTTTTATTTCTGCTGCTATTCACTCTTGAGAAACTACTAACACTGTCTTAATTGAGAAAAATATAAAAG